TTTTGAGACAGGATCTTGCTAAGGTGCTCAGGTAAGCGTTGAGCTTGTAATCCTCCTGCTTCACCCTCCCAAGCAGCTAGGATATACATCTAAGTGTGACAGACTCAGAACACTATGAGTTAGGTGTGGCACAGCTCCTTCAAACATTTTCTCTTTCTCTTCCCAACAGGATTCTGAAGTCACAGCCGTTTATTCCCATTTCACATAAGTTTGTGAAGGGTGCAGGAGGGTGAGCCATCTGCTCCAGGTCATGTGACTTGGGAGAGGCCGATTTGGTTCTGGGCTAGTTTGGCTGGAGAGTTCAGCTCTTACAAACAACTTACGTGGACTTAGGTCTTTGCGGGGGAAACTTCACTTTCATTCTTGGAGCTAAAATTACAGATAATGTAAGGGGTCAGGCATGCAGGCTGATAGGCACAGCTGCCCTGGAGGTAAGGTCTACATCTGTGCCCCTAGCATCCTCTGTGCCTGGGGGCCAGGAGGTGACAGGCATCAGATGTGGGAGAAGTTCAAGCCTGGCTGGGCCAACTGCGCCACACTCCTGTCTTCTGAGCAAACTCAAAGACCTCTCTGAGGCTGAGCTAAGTTGCCTAAGTGCTTAGAGGCTGGGTCTAACAGGCTGTACCTCTGCCCCTAGTCCGTGACTCCTTTGCCTCGCTCAAGAAGAATCACTCCACCATATGTCTAGCCAATAAGATATCGCCCAATGTTCTTCACTACTGCATAACCTATTAGAAAGTGCCATGTAATCAAATGCTCCTCCCATGCTCCTCCACCGTGGTTGTCCACACGTAAGCTAGATAAGCCTGTGCATGTCCTGAATAAAGTGGAAGCATTCCAGAAACCTCCCTGGAGTCTGCTTGGTGATTCTGCACCTTACTCTCCCAGTCCAAGCTCCCAAGCCTTGTTCCACAAGTGGGCTGGCTCACAGATGACAACAACCAGACACAGCCCTGCAGGTCTCAGGAGCTCCCCGCCGTCACACCAGACCTCGTGCCTCCAGCCGCCTCCACCCGCTGCCCACAGAACTCTGAATGGGTCCATGACAGGAAACAGGTGTGCAAGGGCCAAGTGCACACAAGATGTGGAGTCACACCAGGGCACCCCTTCCATTCCACTGGCCACCACACCCACACCCACACACACACACACACACACACACACACACACACCCGTCCTGCATGGGTTTCTCATCAGGAAATCCTTCATGTTCCCGTGTAGTTCATTGGTACAGTCTGTTGGCCACTGCAGGCCCATGAGGCAGCACCCTGTCTCCCCCTTCCTTTGTACTCGACAATACTATCTGCTAATGCTGAACCATGCTGCGGGGCTCGGGCCCTTCCTCCCCACCCAGGCCCAGGCAGCACTGTTCATCTGCACTCGAAGACCTCACATGGCTGCCAGGTGCAGCAGCGGCAGGAAGCCAAGCTCCAGGGACCATCAGGGAAGGCAGACCCCAATGCACACCTCACCTTGCTCCTCTCTAGTCCATGGCAGCTCCAGAATTTAATAAAAATCAGATCCAAAGTACTTGCTGTGTTGTTTAACCCAGGTCCAGGTCTTCCCATCATACCAGGAAAATCCCAGTTCTTAGGCCAGGGTGTGCAGGAGGACCTGCGATGATGGGCTTGCTGCTTCTCTTCCCCATCCAGATGCTGACCAGGGGCATCAATCCTGGCACTCACTCAGTCAAACTCCAGACTCAGCAGCCTCCTCTCCATGGCTGGGACACACCTGCCCCCTGCCTGCCTCTAGGACCTGCTGTCCCTGCCTCTCTGGGAGCTGCCTCCCATCCTTCAAGAACCAACTGAACTGCCACCATCCCAGAGCCTGTCCCCCGCAGTGGCCCCACCTCTGCCCAGTCACACCCTCCATAGCTTCCCCACGACTTGCACATCTTCACTGGCTCACTCTGTCTTTGTCAGATGTGCATGCAATGGAGACCTTGTCTGCCTGCTCACTGACAACCCCAGTGCCTGGGACAAAGCCAAAGTTAAGTATTTGCAAAACGAAATGAATGAATGTGTTCATGATCCCAGCAAGTCGGCTCAACTTCTGCACCTCACTCTCTTCATCTTTAAAATGGGGCTTCTGGGTGCAGCAGTGCCCACTTGTCAGTCCCAGCACTTAGGAAACTGACACACGAGGATTGCTTGAGCCTGGGATGCCTGCCCCGTCTTTACTGGGCATGTTTGTGGAACATGAAGACATGGATGATACCAAGAAAAAGATTCAAGAAGAAAGAGAAGGTAGAGAAGAAACTAGTGCATGAGAACTGCAGCACCACAGAGGTGCCCTGCTCAGGGCATGGAGCGGCACCGTCATGGTGAACAGACTCCCTCACACAGGGCAGGCAAGCTCGGCTGTCCACAGGTTTTGGTACTGGGGACCGAGCCTGGCACCTCACAGATGCTAGACAAGCTCTACCATGAACTACAGCCCCAGCTCCTCTTACTCTATTTGGAGACAGTGTCTTGCTAAATTTCCCATGCTGGCCTCAAACTTGCTATCCTCCTGCCTCAGCCTCCTGAGTGGCAGGGATTACAGTGTACCCACTGCTCTTGAGAACGAGTCATGGGTGGACAATGGGTGAAGAGAAGAAGGCACTACTGGCTGGGGGAACAAGTGGTACCACCCACAGGCAGAGGCTGGGAGCCCAGTGCTCCTGGCACAGGGGGAGGGCAAGACTGGGAGCTGGGCATGTCTGCAGGGGAGGTGGCCATGACGTTTCCCTGTAGCTCCAACTGGGCCAGAGGGAGGCAGCTAAATCCACCACCTTCCAAGGCTGCCTGTGCAATGCCCTGTAAGAGGGTGGTGCTCCACTGGGCTGCCCTGCAGCCTCCTCCCATCACAACACAGGGCCACCTCCTAACTGGTGGCCAAGGGGTGGGGTGGCCACACAACCTTCTGTGCCTGTGTCTCTAGTCACACCCTAAAGGCATCAGGGCCTCTGAATCCAGACCACCCAGGAATGGCGTGGGGAGGAGGGTGAGGCTGGCGGTGGGGACTGCAAACCCAGACCCACATGTGCCAGGGAGCACTGCCCCTGCTGGGCACGCAGGACAGGCGGCCTGGGACACTGCCCCGTCTTCACGAGCATGTTTGTGGACGTGAACACACCCGCCTTGGGGACTGGGTACAGAAACACGCCTCTCTCAACCCTCCCCTCCCCTCACTATCCCCAGACCCCCTTCTCATCCACACAAAGTCTACCTCCCTGTTTCCTATCATCTATCTTTTATTTTGCTTTTCATCTTTCAGGAAGAGCCGGGCCTCTCTACACAGCGCAGTTACAAGCAGGAACACAGGGTGACAGGTGGCTTTGATTCTCTTCCCAGATGGGACAGGATGCTGGCCAGGCTCCTCCTATCCTGTTTTTGAGAACGCAGCTCAGTGTAGCATGCTCACTCGGCATGTGCGAGTCTGGGTTCCACTTCTCGTGGCACACACACTGCCCACCCGCTAAGGCTGCCTCTTCTCTGACCCCCACGCCCTGGCCTGTCCTGTCTTTGACCCTGGGCTCTGCTGAAGATGTGCCTGCCCCACGAGCTTCCTGACCCGGCTCCACGGTCAGGCCACAAGCTTTAACTCAGTATCACTGCACACGTACTCACTGAGTGGATATGCTCAGCGCCATGCTAGGCATGGTGCATACACGAGGTAGGTCATTATTATACCTATTTTACGGATGGGGACAGAGGCACAGGGAATTTAAGTAGTCTGCTGCAGGTCCCCAAATCAGCAGGAAGCTTACCTCCAGAGCCACTGTTCCTAACACCACTTTGTAGCACCCCTCAGAGCTGTTGTACACAAAGGAGCTCCCTGAACTCAGGGCTCACAGCAAACACCCAGAGGTTTGATCTTTGTTCTCTTTGCTGCAGGCTGCTAGGACTGTGCTTCCCCTTGGGGAAGATGGCACCAATGGGCCAGTAGGTGGCAGCAAGGAGCCAGACCCAGGCCCTGGTGAGGGAGAGGCACGGAGCTGTGCAGGGCCGGTGTCTTAGGCACTTCATAGGCTCCTTGCTCCTGGAGTCCCGGAAGGTGGGCACCATGGCCTTCCCAGTCTGCCCAGAGAACAGGGCCTGTGGCTCCGGCGGGCTGCGATGTCCACTGAGGTCAGGCAGCTCCAAATGCTGCGCATGGCACCAGGTGGCCTAAACCCTAGCCTCACAGTTCCCGGGAGATAACAGACAACCTAGGGAGCCCTTGGAGCATTCGCCGGGCAGGGGGGCTCCAGCCGTCCTCCTCCATCCCCAGAGAGCACAGAAACCACCCGGTGGCCCGAAGGAGGTTGCCTACACCTGTCCCCTCACAGGGAGGAGTGTGAAGACTCAGACCCTAGGACTGGGTGGGTCTCAGGGAGCAGCAGCCACTGCATGTGCCAGACACAAGGGCCAAAGGAGGAGGGAAACAGCTCACGCTCCCTGCTTTGACGGGAGCCAGCGTCCCAGCCAGTCACGGAAAAGACAGCCAGCCACAGCTCCGTGCCCACTGGAGACAGAGCCACGTAAAGAGCTTTCACGGTACCCCTTCCAGCACTGTCACATCCACACCTGAAATCCCAGCCCTAGTGGGCCTGTCACACACAGTAGCTGCAAGGTGTGTGGCCCAGGCTCAGCTCTGTCTTTGGGCCTCCCATGTGGCCAGTGGCTCAGTGCGGCAGTGGAGGGACCCAGGCCTTGAGCATCAGAGTCTGGTGATGTTACTGGCTGAGCCCACTGGGGCACTGGCTTTGGGTCAACCTGGTGCTTCTCCAGCCATTGTGTCCAGCCTGCCCCCTAAACTGCCTGGCTCCCCTCGTCCCTCCCGGGCTCACACAGCCAGATAGGTCCTCTGCACACACACAGCACCTCGGGTTTATTGGGGGCAGCAGGGTGGGCATAGGCAGTCTGACCCTGGCAGAGTCATGCCTGCTCCACTCTGCTCTCTTGGCATTTCCGGGGGCTTCCCTGTGGGTCTCCTCCCACATCTCCATTTCCTGCACACACATCTCCCCCTACCCTGCTCCCGAGTCTTATTCTTTCACCAGCCGGTAGATGTGGTGCTGAGCCCCATGCTCGCTGGCTGACACCTCAAAGACGTATGCGATGCACAGCAGGGTCTCCTGTGTGTCTCTGTTGGTGACTACCTGCAGGTGAGACAAAGACAGGTGAAGCCTCTGGATGGGGGTGCTGGCTGCCACCCTGAAGCCTGCGCCCGGCCCGTGCATACCTGCAGGATGGTGAAGTTCTCTAGCACGCTGTTCATCAGGCACTTCTCGGGCAGATGCTTCAGCTTGTGGATGAAGTTGACCATGTACTCGCAGAGCGGCGAGCGGTGGATGCGGTAGGAGTAGTGGCCGTTCTCGTAGCAAGCGTACTCTGTCTGCAGATGTAGGGAACAATGGGAGCTTAGAATCCCCTTGCCTCCAGCCCAGACCCGCTCTGTGGGGAGGCACCACAACCAAGAGCACTGTCACACGGGAAGAAGGCAGGAGGCTGGAGGCCCTGGAGCAGAGCCACAGCCTCCTGCCAGCGGTGGGCAGATGCTGGGTACCAGGGGAGCAGAGCTCAGAGATGCAGCGGTCGAGGCGATGACGAGATGGGATGGGAGCCACTCAACTCTGGCTGTGCAGCAGGTGAATGTGGGCACAGCCTGCCCCATCTACACACACAGCGCACACCCTACTGGTGAAATCTGAGCAAGTCCAGGGCATCATACCAAGGCTGGTTTCCCAGCTGCTAACATTGTTCTCCACTCTTAGGACCTTGCCAGGGCAGGAGCAGGTGGAGCATGCATGGGATTACAAGTGCAGTTCCACAAAAATAAGTATAGATAGATATATAAATAAGTAACACGCTTAGCATGCATGAGGCCAGAGTTCACTCCCAGCACCAAAATAAAGAAAGAATGAGAAGAGAAGAAAAATTGCTGCTCCTTAGATTCTGCTCCCAAGATGGCAAATCCACCAGGTGAGGCCAAGCCAGGACATCCCCAAGAAACAGGAAGTCTCTTCTGCAGCAATGGCGGGCACCTGGTTAACAGGTGAATGTGAGAGCTGGGCTTTGTTAAGTCAGACCAACATGGGGAAAGAGGCGAGGACAAGGACAGAGACTTGGGCATTCTGGGACCCAGGCGTTGAGTTCCATGGCCCTGTCACTCTTGGGGTGCAGAGCACCAGAATATCAGAGGACGACTCACTGCTTACCGAACAACACACAGGGTGTCACCACACCCCTCAACGTGCCTTTGGCCAGTGTGCTCAGGAGACCGCCAGAAACTGCTGCCCAAAAGGAAGTGAATTTCTTGTCACCTCCACTAGTGAGGGTCTCCTGAGTACTAAAAAGTCACAAAGTGGGGACACAGTTTTGCACATGGAGGAAAGCAGGAGCAGGGAACAGGGGGAAGGCCTTCCTCTCTCTGGGCTCACTCAGGGTCAGCTCCCAGGCCCCCTCATGCATCTACCCCACTCTAGGAGAGCGCATGTGTGAGGGAGGTTCAGGCAGGCAGCAGTGCTCGCCAGAGGCTGCACAACTAGAAGGCCTTTTCCTGAGTGTGCAGAAGCCACCACCTCCCAAGTAGCCCCACTGCCCTCAGCCAGCCTCATACCTCCACTTTCTCTACCACCTGCTTGCCGAACAAGCACACCTTAGTGGAGCAGGTAATAATCATGCTCTCAGGACTCTCGTACCAGCTGGAGACCCCATAGAAGGAGCGGCCTTCATCCTCAAGGTTGGTGTTGAGGTCTGCCTGCAGGGGAGACAGGAGGCTGAGGATGGATCTGCACAGTCCTGTTGCGGGCAGAGGCTGTGAGTCTCAGCAGAGTCTCGAGATGGAAAGAATCTGGAGGGTGAAAGGAGCAAGTGGACAGCAGACTTGGAAGTTTCACCATTCTCACCCTCACATCCAGGCTCCCTGTGAAGGCTGTTATGCCACAGAAAGAGAACCCAAAGGCTGCTTCCATTTCAGGCCAATGCCAACACCCCTAGCAAGCAGGCTCTAGGACTTGGAGTTATATAGTCTGACTTTGTTCTGTTAAGGGGCAGATATGCAAATCCATATGAATATGAATTTATCAGAACCTTCCCAGAGTCAACTCTGATAATAAGAAAGCAGGAGAGCAGAAACCTAGGAGAGGGAGACTCCGCCCTGTCCCATTCTCTTCCTGGTGATCACCACACCTGCCCATGTTCTTTCAGAAACGGCTCCAACTGCAGGGTTCAGCCACCCGTGATGTTTTTCCATCAGCCTCAGGCTCCAAACATACCTCTCTTAGCTGCTGTAAGCATTCTGGAAATACCAGGTCTAACCGCATCACCCCATAGCTCCAGCTGTGTCTCAGAGCCCTTCTGCCACAGGGCCTGAGTCCCACCCAGTGCCCGCTTGGCTCCAAAGGCCCTTCCCCAGCCCTGCACTGGGCCCAGCCGTGCTGCTTCCGCTCCTGTTGGATGTCAGGCTAGTCTGAAATGTACCTGCAACACCAGCTCTGACACAGATGGAGCAATGCTCCACACCACACACCTCGGCCACCAGGGAGACTCAGCACAGCTTCCAGGTGAAGGGCTGGGGTCTGCAGGCTCCCACCCCAGTGCCTGGCCCAAGCCAGCAGAGGGAAGGCACTGCTGAACCACCTGGCTGCCCTGGGGATTCCCCGGCCAGAACTGTATTTCTGAAGCCCATGGTTATGAAGGGAATCCCATCCCCAGAACTTGGGCTCCATATCAAATTGTCCTGCCTGAGCCAACATTGCTCACGGAGGAATTTCAGCCTCAGAAAAACGCACACATAACAGAAGCCAAATTCTTAGGAGGTCCCGTGCTCACCCGCACTACTGGTATGAAATCACTAGCGACAGCCCTGTGAGTGCACGGGAGCTGCAGGCTGTGAAGGAGGCTCTGCTGCATCTAGGTGAGGGGGTCCCAAGAACCCTAGGAAGGTTTGAGCAAGTTTGAAAGTCAGGCAAGGCCGTTCTTTTGCTGGCCGCTAGAGGGCGCACACTTGCCATTTTGCTCTCCTTTGAATTTTCCAAGAATAAGAAGAGCTTTCTACATAATGGGTTGTTGTCTTATGGAACAACAGAAATAGTATGTGGCCATATAAAATGCTGAGAAGGACCTGCATTTATCATTATGGATTAATAACATTATAGTGGGACCTGGCCTGGGAGGCTGAGGCAGGAGAATCCCTGGGAGTTTAAGGCCAGCCTGTGCTACATAGTGAGTTCTAGTCCAGCCTGAACTACACAGTGAGACCCTATCTCAAAAAGCAAAACAAAAAACCCCAACATACTGAATGAATTGCAGTCTCTCCCGGGCTTGTCCTTCCCACAAAGCAGTGCTGCCCCTGCCGTGGATAGCTGCATGAACACCCATGTCACTACCCCATGCTCTCCAGTCCAGGTGAGACCTTCGCTGTGGGCAAGAACCTGGGTGTCCTCCAAGCCTTCGCAAACATTCTTCACTCATTGTTTCACCTCTTACCACTGGGTGGTGCAGTGTGAGGCGTGGGCCTACATGCTCACCCTGAATTCCTCCAAGCCCAGCTCCACCCTCCTATCAAGTGCACTGTCCTCACCTCCCACTCCCTTGGCCCTTCCACTCAGCCCCAGCCCAGGGCGGATAGGGACTGGGGGAGGGGGACAGAAAGAGGCCAAGGCACTGTTTTTGCTCTCAAGGAATCTCACTAGGACAGCAAGCAGAATTGGTGGGCTAGTGAGTGGCACGATGAGGGAGAGCAATCCCACAAAGGAGTCAGACAGCCCAGAACATGACCTGGGCACTCCACGCAAGACCCAGGGGACGCAGGGCAGTGACGATGAGGCTTCACTCCAGAGCACCTCAGCCCACCTGGGTGCCCAGACCTCCTGGAAGACGCTCCAGCCACTGCCCGCCCACCCTGCAGACCCCCTCCACACCACCTCAACACACCTGGCTCCTTGGCCTTCCCAGTCAAAGGGGAGAGTCCTCTCCCACCCCATAACGCTGCCCTCTGAATGCCCCCTTCCCTCCCTCCACCCTATTCATAGCTGTTCAGGAGTGGGCAGCTCTCGGGCTGGGCCTGGAACAGGTGCAGGGGATCGGGTGGCTGACGGATGAGTCCGGACAGCTGCAGCCAGGGTGTGGGGGCCCAAGGGGCTCAGATTCATTGTCATGTGCTGGTATGTGCCTGGGAGAAATGTCAGGCTGGGATGGCAGGAAGGCCTGGGGCACACCTCTGCCTCCCTCCAGTGCTCAGCTCAGACCCTCCCCAGTGTACCCCCCCCCACAGCCATCCAGTACCAGGGATCGAACCCAGGAGTTCATGAATGCTAGGTACCAGGAAAAGATCTACTACTGAGTTACATCCCAAGCTTTTCGTTTTGTTTTGTTTTTTGAGACAGGGTCTCACTATGTAGTTGAGATTGACCTGGAACTCTTCCCTCAACCTCCCGAGTGCTGGGATTACAGGCGTGCGCCACCACACCTGGCTTCTTTTATTTTTTATTTTTTATTTTTTATTTATTTATTTATTTATTTATTTTTGAGACAGGGTCTAGCTAATTTGCAGGCTGGCCCTGAACTTGCAATTCTCCTGCCTCGGCCTCTGGAGTAGCTGCTGATTACAGACATGAGCTGTCATTTTGCTCATCATTTTCAATGCACAGATAGGTGTTTATGGCCCCTAATGTCCAAGAATCCCTCTCCCACCCCAGAACAATAACCTTTCTGGTCTCAGAGCTCAAGGGCTACAGTGGAGGGCAGCAACCTCCAGCTCTGGGTTCCAGCATTCACTGGACAGAGCCAGCCTCAGGGCACACAGATGGCATTTCCAGCAGGGACTCGTCTTGGCAGGATGTGAGTCTATGGATTGCCACCACAATCCGACCAAAGAACAGTGACTTTCAGGGCGACGGAAGCAGGAGCTTGGACTGAGGACATCATGGTGATGTCCACTTCTGAGGGTTCTGACCAGCTCTTCGGCCCCTAGAAGCCAGGGCTTAGGAAACAGCTGGTGGGAGGGAAAGGCGATGGGGTCCCCGCGGACTGCGTCTCACTGTTGGCACTCAGAGGTCCCTGCTCTTGGGGGCCCCAGGAAGCGGGGTAGGGCTCCCCCTCTCCGCCAGCTCCAAGCCCCAGCCCCTTGTGTGCCTCAAGGACAGATGGCGATAGGCAAACAGAAGCCAAGATTCACCAGGACCGAGCTCTCACAGGGCCTGAGTGGGCAGTCTACCTTCCTCATTCCCATATCACGGACATAGCCAGGACGCCAAGCTCCGAAAGATACAAGTGGTGTCGACTGTGGGCACTGTACACGGCCAAGCATGTGCGTCTGTGGAACCTGCTTTGCCAGACTTCCCCGGGACAGGGTCCCCACACCTTCGGCTGCAAATCCCCACCTGAAGCTTCCCCTGGGGGAAAGAAGAAGGCAGGTGCCACAAGCAAGGCGGGAGGACACACTAGCTTCTCCTTCCAGCCTGCCATCTTCGCGCTTTCCAGCAAGACAGCGTACTCCTTGCCTTCTGGAAGGAAGTGCAGGGTCTAGAACATGCCCACACCGTATGGACTATTCAGGGCTGTCTCCACGCTGCTACCATACCCTGCTCATCAGCAAACCGGAGAACCTGCACCCGGCACAGGAAAAGCACTGAGACTCCAGTGCAAGGGAAGGAAGGCCAGTGCCCAGCTGTAGGCACCAGGAGCCAAGTCACTGGACCTAGGCTTAGGCCGGTGCTGCATCAAACTGGCTAAACTTTGGCTAGTCATTTAAACTGTGTGCCTCAGTTTCCCTCTGTAGGTAAGCTTATCAACTGGAACTACCTCTGGGACGCAGCAAAGTTTAACCATGTCAGTGCACATGAGGTGCTAAGGAGGGTGCCGCTGTGATCTTCAGTCTGTGTCATCACCCCACAGCAGGGCCAGAACAAGTGCAACCCTGCACACCCTGAAGCCTGTGTTCTCTTGTTCTGCACCTCAGTTTTCCCCATTTGAGAAACAGAGGCATAAGGTGATCCTCATGTGGAGGGCGAACGCAGAAAACTACCAAAGACCACACTCGGGGCATCGCTCAGGGCTAGAGCACTTGCTCAGCATGTGGGAGACAGTGAGCTCCACCCTCACACCGAGAGAAGGAAGAAATTGGGGGGAGAGAAACAAAAAGAAAGAATATTATTGACAACTGAACAAGGCAGGAACTGGCATACAGGTCCCAAACATGCCATCTCCTCGCGGGCAGTGAACCCGTGAAGGGCTTCCTCCCTTGCCAGCCTCCCTTCTGTGCTAGCCGTATCCTCTGGGAGGTGGCACCTGTGCTGGGAGGAGCTGTGGAGCCACACCTCACCTCCCAGCCTTCCTCTACATCAAGGCCCCAGGGGCGGGCTGAGTGTGAGCTCTGGAGGCAGGCAGGGCGGGCACAGGGCAGGGCCCACCTCACACTGCTGCGGGCCACTCAGCAGCAGCGTACACCGGGCCCTCAGCCAAGCTTCTCATTTCTGATCCCCATGTCCAGGGCAGGAAGCAATTGTGAAGACGGGGAAGTGAGACCCGTTAAAGCAGTGTGGCATGTTGGTGTCACTGAGAGCTCGCAAAGGGTCACCAGCCTGGTTTAAACCCTTCTGGGAAAGGGCAGAACAGCACCCCATCCTGTCCCATGCCATCTTAAAGGCCCCAGCTCCTTTCTGGGCTGGGTCACAGGAGTCTCCCACCGGCCTCTAGCCAGACGGCCGATTCTCCCAGCTGGGCAGCACTTGGGCCTCACGGCGCCCTATTCCAGGTCTTCAGGGAATGAGGGGGGCTGGTGCAGGCTTGGGGGGTCCAAGGCAGGAAGGCCATGTGAGCCTAGAGTTTGAAACCAGCCAGGCAACACAGAAAAACACAGTTTCAAAAAGAAGCAAAACAAACCTTCAGTGACTCATTACCAAGGGGACAGATGACCAAGATACCATAAATGTGCCACCCTTCCCCTCTGCAGACACGCCATCTGTGGGCACTGTCCCTTCTCCAGCGGCATTTGGACAATGCCTGCCAACTACAATCAGGTTAAACCCATTTTCCTGGACACTGGGTTAAAGGTGGGAATCCAATCATATGGGTTTACTTTTTCCCCTTTCTGCAGACTCAACTAGAATGATAAAAGCAAAGAATTTTTTAAAGTGTGCTGTACATAGCTGGGCAGATGGCACCTCTGATCCTAGCTACTCAGGAGGCTGAGGCAGAAAGATTGCAAGTTGAAGGCCAGCAAGGGCAACTTAGTGAGACCTTGTCTTGAAAAAAAGACAAACTAAAAAGGCTGGAAGAATAGCTCAGTTGTAGAGTGACTGAGTGATTGCCTAACAAGTATGTGTGAGGTCCTGGATTTGAACAGTAGCAATGCAAAAATGTTGTGCAAAGAGGGAAAAAAAGGGAGAAGAGACCAAATTAACAGAGGACTTCGAGACACTCTGGGAAGCTGGTGGCTGACTCCCAGGACTGGGGTGTGTTCTGCAGGGCGAGGGGCAGCAGGTAGCTTGGATTGGAGGGGCCGCGAACACTGCCATGAACGGAAGGCTGGCTAGAACCTGCATGTGGGCTGGCCGGACCCTCCCAAAAACAGAGGACACTTTCACCAGAAAAGCACAGGAGGACTTGGGCCTCTGTGACAGGGCTGTCATACAAAGGCCGGGATGAGAAGCAAAATCAGCATCAAAACTGGCTGAAGCCCCTAACCCTCACTTGTATCCCACTCCTGAGCGCTGCAGCCAAGAGCCTCCCTTCCAGGGAAATTAAAGGAGTCTCTGGAGAAACGCATTCATCCCAGGGTATGGACAGGCCTAGCAGACACAATGATGTTCACTGATTTCTCCCCAGCTCCTGCGGTTTTAAAATCAAGTCCACTTTGCACCCAGGGCTCACAGGGACTGCTAAGATGAACAGCCAGCACAGAGAGCAAAGAGAAATGTACAGAGATTGGACTTCATCAAAATTACAAATTCTTACACTATCAAGAATGTGAGGTGTGGCGTGGGGGCACATACCTAAAATCCCAGCACTCCAGGAGGCCAAGACAGGAGGGTCACGGGTGTGAGCCCAGCCTGGATACCGATACCTTAGTATCGACTCAGCGAGATCCTGTCTCAAAATGAAGAATAAAAAGGGCTAGGGATGGAGCTCAATGCGAAAGTCACAGGTTCAATTCCCCATATCAAGAAACAAAAGAAAAACAACCAAAAACTCTACCAAATGGGAGAAGATACCTGCAAATCATATATCTGGTAAGGGACTTCTATCTAGAATATATAAAGAACACCTAAGGCAATAATGAAAAGATACATAACTCAATATAAAAACAGACAAAGGATCTAAATAGACATTTTTCCAAAACAGATATACAAATTACCAGGCATGGTGGCACATGACTGTAGTCCCAGTTATTCAAGAGGCTGAGTGAGACAGGAGGATCACCCAAAGCTAGCCTGGGCAACAGAGTGAGACCCTGTGAGGGGTATATGCAAAACAGCCAGTAAGCGCATGAGAAGATGCTCAGCATCTTTAATCATCAGAGAAATACAAATCAAAGCCAAGAGAGGTACCACTGCACACTCACTAGATGGCTGCAACTGCAGAAAATACCAAGTGTTGGTGGGAATATAAAGAAACTCAGGAGGCTGAGGAAGGAGGACCTCTGAGTTTGAGGCCAACCTAGGCTACAAAGTGAGCCCATGGCCAGTTTAGATTGGGGAAAAAAAAAAGTTCTTAAATAATGAATCTTCTCAGGCCAGGGATGTAGCTCGGTGGTACTACTGCCTGCCTCACAAGTGGAAGGAACCTGAGTTCAATCCCTGGTACCAAAAAAAAAAGGATCTTCTCATTTCTAGAAAATTGTTTATGATCCATATTCCTTACTTAAAGTATTATTTAGTGAAGGATAGGGATGCAAAAACAACATTGCAAACAGGCATCTTTTCTCAGAAGGCAGACAGGATGTACTATAGGAACAGCAGGGGACAGGCCCTGGGCTCCACCCACACGCAGCCCTGGCTGTGTGTGAGTGCTGGGCTGGGTTCCTTGCCCAGCCTTGATGCCTACCCAGAAGGACACCCAACCCTCCCGGTGTGAACAAGCCTCTTTCTGGGACCACAAAGCTTCTAGATTATGAGTAGTATGGAACCGAAAGGGTGAGAAGCTGTGACAGGAGGCCCAGGCAGAGCCAGCGTGGGCCAGGTGGGGACAGATCTAAGGCACAGGGCAGCACCCAGGCCTGCACTACCACCTCTGTATGGCCCTACTTTCTGGCTGGCCGCCACTACCATCATCAGAAAAGGGCGGTTTTCCTGGGGTTGGCTCAGTGCAGAGCACTGTCTAGCATGCATGAGGCCCCACGTTCCACCCTGTAGCCCTGTTCTCTGGCATTCAGGCCCCCATCCCTATTTCCGCTCCACCAGCAGAGTCTCCCTCTTGGCTTGCTCCTCCCTGGCCCCTCAAGCTGCCTCCCAGCAGCTGGGGCACCTGCTCACCCTGCCACCCACAGCACCACCACAAATGCTCTGGGGTGGAATGAAGGGTTTATTCCAGGGCTTACCCAAAACTTTACGAGAAAAAAGGCATTGGAGGGCCCCCGTTCAAAGAGCTCCTTGAGCCCGCCCTTCTTTTCTGGGAATTTGTCATAGATCTGGCGGATGTCTATGGCTTCGAGGTAGGGATCACCGCAGCTTGGACTTGACTGGCCGATGTGCACGAACAGATGCTTGTTGTACTGTGGAGGGAAGGGGGTCTGAGAGAGACACAGGAAGGCAGGGCAGACAGAGGGGGCCAGAGCTTCCCACCCAGCTCTGCAGCCCACTGCTCGGCTCCAAGAGTGAATCATTTTACCTCTCTGGGCCTCGGTTTCCCCGTGAGTACTTGGGGATAGTGCAGGTCCAATTCTTTGATTTCATACTGGGCTTCTGAAGAAGAGTGTGGCTGATTAATGGGTTCCTCAGCTAAAACAAGTCTGAGACTGTTGGAGTTAGACAGTTGTGGGCCTCCTGTCAGTAGGCCTGAGTACTTGTCTGGCCTTTGCAGGTGACACTGGTCACCCAGGACCCAGGCACTGAAGAGGACAGCCCAGGGAGGGTGTCCCAGAGGATGGGAATCAGACACAGGAGTCTCCTCAGCTTCCTGCCAGCCCCTCAGGGCCAGGGAGTTCAGGGAAGGGTATGGAGTAGTTTGGGATGGCAGCAACTTTGCACTAAGAGGGAAGAAAAGTAAGGGCAGGGAGTGGAGGAGCCTGGGGAGCTGGGAGGGAACAGAAGCCAAGCGAGGGCTTGCGACAGGAGTGTGACAGTAAGCACGGAAAGGGGAAGAAGTTGGAGTGAGGAAGGAGAAGCGGGGAGGGAGGGCCAGCCTGGGAGCCTAAGTAAGCCTTAAAGAGTGTGGCAGAAGAGCATGCAAGAAGCCAAAAGCAGGCATAGTTGGCTGCGGGACACAGTGTGGGTGCAGGAACTCGAGAGGACTCACTGTGTCTGGGTCCTGCTGCTGCTCCAAGAAGGCAGAGAACTCCAACATCCAGAGCTTGGAGCTGGCCACACTGCGTCCCTGCCACGGGGGCACCAGGGGTGCTGAGGGCGATGGGACAGGTCCCACAGGAGACTCAAACCCTGTGCGCAGTGGGAGAGGCACACAGAAGCTGCCCAGGTGCCCTCCCTGCCCACACCCTCTGTGAGGCCCTAGGTTCACTGCATCCCCTTAGAGGTAGGGGCAGACGTGGCCCTGTCTGGGGCAGCTGAAGCAGAACCAAACTCCAGGGAGACTGAGCTCTGGAGGTCTGCCACAGCAGGCACCACTGTGCCAAGCAACCTCTGGTCTGGGTAGGAAGTCGCCTACCCAGAGAGCCCAGAGCTGCTTCCCTGGCACACAGAACAGAACCTGGGCCAGAACAGGCCCGTAATACAGCTCACTAACAAATGAATGGAACCCAAGAGGGTCCCAATGGGGTGTCGGAAAAGGCTCCCCCAAGAGGGCCGTGTTATAAAGAAGGGATGAGGTCACACAGAAAACCCTGGGTGCGGACTGGGAAGGGCATTCCAAGTCAAGGAAACAGCAGAGGTGAGTGGGTCAGGCCAGGAGCCAGCTTGGTGAGTCTAGAAATTCATCGGGTATGGGCTGCAGGGAGAGGGTGAATCGGGGCAGTGGCTGTAAATGAGAAGCCACAGACAGGTGTGACAGCTTTCCCTGTGGGAAGTGACTCAGCACCACAGAGAGGGGACATGGAGCACACAGGGAGAAATGTCGGCATTGGAACAGTGGCCTATGAGGGACAAGATTCTAGAAAGTCTCAGCGTTTCCACTGGGGAGTGTGGTCAAGAGTGGTGACCGATCAGAGGCACAGAACTTAGGGGCATGTGGAGGAGGAAGTCTAGAAGGGACAGTCGGGTGGGTGACAGTCATGAGGGACACAGTCAGCGCTGAATGCATCTGCTGAGCCACTTGTTCATTTGTTTATCTGAGCTCCGCTTACTGAGAAACTACACCGTCCCGCATGAGACACAATACAGAGACAGAAAACTGATAAAGACCACCCCATACAGGCGGAGGTGATCACACAGTGTGGGGAAAGGCAAGGGCAAGGCAGCCACTGAGCCTGGCGGGAGCGGGGGACCAGGAAGGAGGGAGCAGACAGCCAACGGGTGGCAGAGGCGACCAGAGGACCCCAGAAGGCAATGCAGATTCCTGTTGTCTCTCAAAGCCACAGAAGCATTAAGCCCAGAAACAACAAAGCAAGACTGGTATCCAGGAGCAACACAGGACTGCAAGAGGTGTGCGGAGCCAGGTAAGAGGCCGCTGTAGTACCAGGCAAATACTGGAGGGCCTGGATGAAGACTGCATTGTGTGGGCAGAGAGCACAGGGGATTGGACTCAAAGCGGCAACACTCCATGCAGGGACGAGGGAGAACGGCACTCAGGTACCCGGGGTTGCAGGAAGCCCAGGGGCCAGTGCCAGGCTGCTGGCAGCTAGGAAGCCTCCAAGCCAGCCAAGGATGCCTCCTAGGAGGGGCGGAGGGGAGCCCTGGGCAGAGATGACCAACTGCCCTGCCCGGCACCGCCAGACCATTTCCTTCAGGTCCCCTAGGCCAGGCTGGGGCAAGGGCCCCTTGGCCTGCCATGTGGAGGGGAGGACTATAGGGCTCTGCCAAGCGGGAGACCCCCAGGGGCCACCTGTGAGGGCTGTTGCCCCCAGCACAGCACTACCTTTGAACAGAGCAAGCTGAAAAGGACAGTAGTCCAGGCCCCCCAAGGGGGGCAAAGGGGCTTGGCACACAAGTGAGGGGCAAGGAAAGGCTGAAGGCAGGAGCCTGGGACACATGGCCTTGGCCTGCAGCAGGGCAGCATCTAGGACAGACACGCAGCGGTCCAGCTGCTGGGGCTGGACCCAGGGCAGGAGCTGCAGGACACGATGTATAAGGGAGCCATTCTGCGCCAACCCACCTGGCAGAAGCAGTGGAGGCTGGACAGTGTAGGTTTGCTGAGAGAAAGGTTTCACACTACGGGGGAGAGGAGAGGAACAGTGTCAGCTGCTTGGGGCAGGGCCCGCACCCTCTGTGTGGCAGGCCCTCTGTCTGACCATCAGTGGTCTCGGCGGCTCCCACCTCCCACCCCTACACTGCCTCCTTCAGCTTCCATGGCTCATCCACAGGAGCAGCACATCTGCTGGGGAATCGGCCCTCCACTGCCTCCCTGCCAGCCTGAGAACTGATTGTGAGCCCCTTCCCTCTGAGTCCCAAACTCAGCCCTCGCCCTACCCTGCACAGACAGGAGTTCTGGCAGATGGCACCCCAGGGTGTGGGCATGGCACAGACTGTACCCCATCCCACTCCACAGCACTCAGGTTTTCTCCTGAGTTTTGGCTTTGACTTCAGACACCAGGCCATACTCACTCATGGGATGTTCCAGCTTGGCCTGGTAAAGCTCCTTGCCAAAACTGAGAAGGAAAAAGTAAGGTCAGCATGGCTGTGTGTACACAGGGCCCACGGTGAGGGAGACAGAGCAGGGAACTCAGCTTCAAAGAGGCTGTGCGCTGACCCCACAGCAGGAGGAAGGGATGCTGATGTCCTTGTCTAGCCTGCTAACGCTAACAGGCACTGGGCCCCCAAGTGCTTCCAGGGCACCAGGCTACAGCACGACTCTGGATGAGAAGCCCAGACAAGACACGCAGGGGAGGCTCCCAGAGGACCTCCACATTTCCACTTCCGAAACGCTGGGGGCAGTGACACAAAACCCTGGCGTGTGCACTGCAGCAGGCATGCAGAGCCCTTTTGTGGGCACACGAGCCAAGCTGCCCTGCCGGCTAAGCATCAGTAATAGTTGTTTTTTCTAAACTAAATCCTCAGTATTCAGGTTTAATTGCAGTGTTGGCACTTTGCGATAATAAAAGTGGGTTTTGGGTTGCAGTTTTGGCACTCGTCTCTAAAAGGTTCACCCTCATGGGCCTCAGGTCATGAAATCTATCTAGGAGGGCCAGGGATTCAGCTCAGTGGTGCCACCACCTGCCTCGAAATTACAAGTTCCTGTGTTTGATCCCAGCACTTGGGAGGCTGAGGCAGGAGGATCGCTGTGAGTCCAAGACCAGCCTGGGCTACACAGTGAGTTCCAGGTCAGTCTCAACTACATAGTGAGACCCTGTCTAAAAAACAAAACAAAACAAAGACCCTTTGGTCCCTACAGCCTTGAAGACCCTGTGAGGACATGGTTCCGGGAAGGAGGAGTGCTTCTGGAACATCTCCAAAGTGTACCCAACCTGGCCACAGCCAAGGCCTGAGAAATGTGACACCCAAGTCAGGGTTCATGCCTGGGCACGAGCTTTGCTCGCCCTGGAGGGAGGCAGTGCTGGGGCCCTGAGCAGGAGGAGCAGCCTCGAGGCTGACTGGCAGCTCCTCAGGGACTGCTTGTGCTATGGCAGGGCCGCTTGCTCAGCTCTACTCCCTGGACCCGCTCAGGTGTCAGCCAAGGGCTGGCCCCTCTGCAGGGGTTAAAGGCCTGCTGTTTGCTACCAAGGGCCCCAACAACATGGCTCCATCAGTGGAGCAGTGACTCAGGACAGCCAGGGTCCTTGTACTCTCCTTCCCCTTGGCACTCCTAGCCCAAAAGGACTCAGGTAAGAAACATCTGAACCCTCTGGGCTCTCCTCCTGGCTTGCAGAAGGGGCAGGAAGAGGGTTGACCTGGACCCCCACTGTCTGGGCTGCCCACTTACCCCTGAGACTGCGGGGTGGCCTGGGCCCTGGGTGAGGTCCACCTTGCTGTGGAAGGCGGTGGCTGAGATGAGCTGGGCGGACGACAGGGCAGCCATACTCTGCAGGGCCTTGTCCTTAGCTGCCTGGTCCTGGGGGAGACATGGAGGAAGGACTCAGCAGGGGCACCATGCAGGCACAAGTGAGGCAGTGTCTGACCAAGGGTGAGGCCCAGTGTGAATGGCCAGGGAGGCCTGGGCCAGTGCTGTCTGTGTGGCACTGCTGATTTGTCCTATGACAGTCTCCTGGTTCCTCTGATCACAGCAGTATAATACACCCTGCCTGTCCTCAGAGCTTAGAAGTGCCTTGGAGATCATCTGCCAGACTGCACTTCTTGTCATTCAGTACTAGGGATGGAACCCCAGGCTTTGCACATGCTACCAAAGTGCTCTGTCACCAAGACCATGGAGGCACCTTAAGAATGGGGTTTTAGATAGGAGGAGTGGCCAAGTGCTAGAGCAGCTGCCCAGTATGTGCAAGGCCCTGGGTTCTATCACCAACTCCAAAAACCAGAGAAAGGGAGAGGGGGTGGGGGAGAGAGAGGAAAAATTAGGAAGAACAAGAATCTGCACCCTGAACCCCAGCACCTAGATGGCATAGATGATAAGTATCTGCTGGATATCTTCTCAAGGTGCAGAAGGGATCATCTGTGGCTAGGTGGGATGTCTGAGGCCAAGGACAGTGTCCTGCAGCCCTACCTGCCTTACCCTGCCCTGTAGTGCCCCTGCACTGTGGCACCACGGGACTCACCTACCTTGCAGTGTCAGAATGTCTGTCCCTATGAATTCAAAGAACCAAAGAATGGGTTTAGCCTGCATAGGCCCTGAACACATAAGCATCTAGGAAAGCCCTTGGTATGCCACCAAGAACAGAACGCTGGGCTGGGTGTGTAGCTCCATGAAGAAGCACTTGCCTAGCACGTGCAGGACCCCAGTGTCCATCGCTGCCCCTGCAAATGTAAACATCAGAACGGGGCTGTCCTATGTAAGTCAGTGCTTTCCCTCCTGGGCTCCATAGTTCCAAAAAGTCTTCAAAACTGATGAGAAACAGGGTCGGGAATTTAGCTCAGTGATTCTGCCAACTGCCTTGCAAGCACAGGTCCTAAGTTTGATCCCCGATACCAAAAAAAGACTACTAAAAAAAACAGATGAGACATATTCTCTCTTTCAAATAGCCTAAAGGGAATTGCATCTTTGTTCAAAATAAGACTTCATATATAGACTAAGACCAAAAGTGCTTTCAGCATGTGAAGCTTTACAGGTGTTAAATGGCTTGATTATGTTGACTCCAGAGGTTTGACCAGAAATTTATGAGGAATGTGTGTGTGTGTGTGTGTGTGTGTGTGTGTGTGTGTGTGTGCACACTCGTGCATGTGCATGTGCTAGGATGGAACCCAGGGCTTATGCATGATACGCATGTGCCGTACCACTGAACCACATCCCCAGCTGTGATGAACTATTTAAAATGGAAAAACAAATGAACTGTGATCTGATAATTAAGCCAGTAGGTCCAGGCTTTCCTTAAGTACTGCAGAAGTTGGGAACTGTGGGAGATGCTGTGGCTTACAAGTGACTGTGGCAGGATAATCTCCCTGATCCACACACAAGCCCTAAGAGGCAGGTAGTACAGAGGCTGCGAAGCTGAGTGCCCACCTAGCACCCTAGCACTGCTGGGCAGTGCAGCCAGCACCCAGCAGGCTGTCCCACCAGCTCCCAGGGTGTAGCCCAGACATCACAGGGGAGGTTTCCAGCATGTTACTGATTTTAACTCCTAGGGCAGAGAACAGCTGCAAGCCCATTGTAAGGTGAAGAACCTGAGGTTGGAGCTATAGCTATAGCTCAGCAGTAGAGCACTTGCCTGCATGAAGAAGCTTTGGGCTTAATCCCCAGTGCTGAGTAAAAAAAAAAAAAAAAAAAAAAA